CTGGGCGTAGTGGTGTGTGCCTGTAATCCCAGGTACTCGGGAACCTGAGGCAGGAGAATTGCTTGAACCCGGGAGGAGGAGGTTGCAGTGAGCTAAGATTGCACCACTGCACTCCAGCCTGGGCAACAGAGTAAGACGCCATCTCAAAAAACCAAAAATAATAAAAAATAAATTTTCTGAGAAAGAAAATAGGTTTTTTTTTTTTTATTTTTCTGTTTTTTCTTTTTTTTTTTTAAAAAAAAAACTTCTTTCCTAACTACTTACAAGGAAAAAAAAAAGGCAGCCCTCCCTTTCAATCTTTCAGTCCTTTTGCCTAGAAGACAAAAGATCCTTCAGAATTAGAGAGGAAGACGGAAAAGAAAAAAAAAAAAGATTCCAGTTAAAAATCTTAAAAATCTTCATCAGGGTCAAAAACCTGACAGAAAAGCTTTGTTTGAAGGGAATGTGAAGGGGGAGGAGGCGGGAACTAGCAACCGGCAACTCTCAACCTCAAAAGGCAAATATCTTGAGAGTTGAAGGAAATCTGGAGATAGTGAACACTCCCATTGAAGTAGTGGAATAGCTTTGATTTCCTTTTTAACCGGAGAGTCTTGTCCTTTTGAGGCCAGTAGAATATGCTGAGAGGAAGAATTGGGGGGGTGGAAAGCATGGGGAAGCAGGAAACTGCCATTTAAATTTCCCCCTGGGTCAGAATTGTCAGGAGTTAGGATGACTGCAAAGAAGGCCTAGGCCTGAAGCCTCAGGCCCAGTGCACCACGGCTCCCGGCCTGGTACTTGCCAGAAACGGAACCAAGCAGAGAGTAGGCAGAGTCAGGATGCAGGGGGAGGGCCGTGATGAAGAAAGCTGGTGATGGTGAGGATGGCGAAGCCCCAGGAGAGACCCGTGGGCAGGTAGGAGGCAGCTGGCAGCATGGCCCTGGAGCCAGGAGGCATCAGAGGGTGAGATGGTGCCAACCTGGGAATGCAGTGTGGTGTGTAGGGAAGTAAGGTTCCAACTGGTCAGCTCCTCTAGGACTTTAAGCAGAAAAGACCCAGATATGTCCCTTGATTGGAGGAAGGGTGAAAGCAAAAAGTAGCATGGGCCATTATTGAAAGGGTGTCAAGAACGAAACTGCTAGAATGAGGAAGCAAACATAAAGCTGGACATCCAGACAAGGGGGAACCCTGGAAAAAGAAGGGAAGGGTAAAGAGGGCAGGACCCATCACTCCCTAGGCCTCCTTCCCGGGGTGTCGTCTGACGGAGGGTCAGTGGGCCAGTGTGAGAACTGTCTGTGGCAAGTGTTTAAATCCCAGGCTGCTTTTTGACCCAGCACCTGGTATCCAGCCATCGATTGATGTGTCATGAGAGAAGATGAACCGATTTTATCATTAGCCTGAACAAAACATAATTAGGAAGAGAAATTTGCTTCTGCTGTTGTGTTTGCTGCAGCAAAGTTACATAAGGCTCATTCGGATGACTTGGGAACACCTTCCCTATTTCTGTTCCCGTGTCCCAGACTTGAACCAAGTTAATAGAGGCCCAGATCCTCCAATCTGCCTTCTAGAAGTTCCCAAGACAGACATGCGCTCAAGGAGCAGATCTAAGACCGCCAGCCTACAGCAGACAGGGAACAAGGGCACACATCGAATAAGCCGGTGTACTGTCATGATGAACAAGTGGACAAGGGGGAGAAAAGGGAGAAGGGGCGAGAGAGAGGAGCAGACTGGAAGGGAAGGCATAAAGAGCTGAGGCAGAGCTCGACTCCTGTGATGTTAGAGGAAGGGAAGGTGAAAAAAAAGGCATTGAATTAGTCAGACAATTTCAGAAGGACAAGATGGATTCTGGAAGGAATTAACTCTGTTACGTCCTGTACTAGTATTACTACACTCGGGCAGAGGAACGGATTTGGAGCGTTTTGGCAGACACTCTTTGGGTGATGAGAGGGGGAGGTGGGAGGGCATGCATGGCTGTTGGGGTGATTCTATGGGGGTTGCATTTGGGCTGAATGTTAAGGCCACAGACACATCCCAGGCTGAGCTCCACGCTGACCCCTTAGACTGAGGCTTTCACTCAGGGCACTTAACTTGGGTGGAGGGAGGCAGGAGTGGAAACTCCAGGCCTAATTGCTAGGTCTCTCTCAGCTCTTCCAGGGAGCACGGGGCAGGAAATTCCTCAAATTCCAGGCTCGTAGGATCATTGCTGAGCTTAACCGCAGAGCAAGAGAAAGGCAGGAGAGGCAGAGAGCTGCCTTCTCTCCATCTTTTTTTCCCCTTGCAATTTTAAAGCTGCAGCAAATTCGAAGGGTTTGGAGGGGCTGGTGGCTATGCGAGAGGCCCCAAACATAAACCCTCCCCCAACCCTGATAAAGAAAGTCCCAAGTCTGGGAATCCCAGAGAAATTAACCCTGAATTGAGTAAGTTTGAAGTCAAAAATAGACTGCTGTGGCCTGGGATAAGCATCTTTCCCAGGGTGAATTTTTTTAGTTCCTCGGAATAGCTAGTGGAAAGGAGCTTGGTTTAGGAGAACCTCAGAAAGCATTGACTGTCTTGCTGAAATAAATGATGGCTGTGCAGAGAGCACATCGGAAGGGGTCTTGGGAAGCATTTCCTTCTGCTCTGAGGGTGAAACCAGGGAGGTCTCCCCCTTTCTGAGCTTCCCTCCCAGAGCAACTGGTCAGGATATCCCGGCCATCACCTCCGGGAAGATGGTGCTCCCTGGACAGCCCATACATTTTGTCACCTCCGTACTGCTCCATCAGTCACAACAACCCCGCTTCCCACCCTCTACTCCCTGACATCTGGAATTGCCTTCAAGATGCGCCCCCATGCCACTCTCTTAAGGCAGTCTTCTCAACTCTCCCTGAAGAATGAACTGTCCTTTCTTTGGGGCTTCCAAAGGAAATTGCTTTGAAATTCCAAAAGATTGTCTATTCTGTTTTAATCCTAGTGGGTTGTTTAGCTCCTGCACTAGACTATAATGCTACTTGTGGATAGGCACTATGACCTGTTTATATTTGTAACTTCCATCTCTTACCTCTTTTCCCCAGCATATAGCAGAGTGACTGCCACACAGTAAATCCACCCCCCCCCCAAAAAAAAAGCTGTTGAGTGAATATCCCAGTTATTTGAGTGTGGATTATCCACTTGGTAGATCCCTATAATTAATGTTTAATTCAAAGTCTAGTTTCTCTTCCAGCTCAGCTCCTCGTACTATCATTTAATATGTGCTCAGAGAATGCAAACAGTTTTTAAATATTATCTTTAGTACAACATAATTAGGTGCTGCTAAAAATTCATTATCATGCTTTCCAAAGCCAAAAAGAAATGACTTTTGTATCATCCACTCCACTGCCCTTCCTCAGTGGTGTGGACAACTGAGACATAAACATTTTCATCGTAATTGATGATAAGACCACCTTAAAGGGCAGCGGGATTTATTGGGTCCCAGGAGGAAGAGGCAGTGGCCCACATCCTGTGTAATTCTTTCTTCTGCAGTTGCTAAACTCCTTGGATTTGCACAGAGCACTTAGAGCTGACGGTCCCACCCTCAGCAGCAACCTAACACTGGCCAGTGCGGGCTGGCATTAGGGAAGTATCTCCACCAAAACCTCAAAAATTCACAGGCAAAAATGCTGTATCCTAGGGCTCTTAAGTTTCTTCTTGATGAAATTATAAAATCCTTTTAGTTCTTCTTCAGACCTATTTGTCCCTCTTTGGTTATCAGGATTCTTTTCTGGCGACCAGGAGAGATTCTTTCACTGCACGACACTGCAGATTCTCCACCAAAAAAGCAGAGCTCAGCTGGCTGCGTGATGCCAAAATGACTCCTTGCTTTGGCTAATTCAGCCAAGGGGTGAAAGTATCATGGTGTTATGGAAGGAGCCCTGTTCGAGGCATCACTCTCATCTTAGTTTCATTCCTGATTCTGCTACTAATGAGCTGTGTGGCTTTGAACAGGTTGCTTAACCTCTCTGGGTTTTGGTAATCATAACCCCTAACGTGGAAGTTGGGCTAGGGAAAAGCGGAGGCTCTTTTTAGTTATAACTCTGTGTACATCTGTAATTGAGGTTAAGAAGAAATGTGCATACACATGACTTTTGACTGAGTGCTGTTTACTTTCTATAACAGTTTACGGGATATATATAAAGTTATATTTTCTGCCTCCCTCCCTTTCCTGGGGAAGACTGAACGGGCCCTAGAGGCTCTGTGGGTGTGGCAGCTGTGGTGGGTTTTAGAAAAGGGGTTTTTCTTGGTCCCTTCTGTTCACTTGTAAGATTTCAGAAGAAAATTGTGCCTGTACTTATCAGGATAAACCTGAGCAGCTGCAGAGAAATGTAATGCAACCTGAGGTGTTAAGTACTGAAGGGACAGGAAATAATACTGGGTGCGGTTATGGATGGTGCCGGCTTGGCCAGGCTTCCTTAAAGAGGTGAATCTGGAGCAGGGCTCAGCGGGAGGAGACATGGCATGGATTGCAAGAAAGAAATCCACTCCAGGTGTGTGGGTGGGTGCGGTTGGGGTGGGGCTTGGTGGGTAGTTATTAAAGCCTTATGCACCTGGATTCTTAGTAGGCAGCTATTGTGGGTTCTGGAGAAGTGGGTCAACATAATGAAGTTTGAGGCTGCATTCTGATTTCTGGGCACATAAAAGTGGGGGAGGCATGAAGCAAGGAGGATGCTGAAAGGGCCATTATCATCCAAATGAGACCGGTGGGATGTAAAGGATAAGAGCATTGAAAATATCCCGAGAAAGAGAGTCTCAGAATTATTTCTACTGGGGCATTTAACTTGTGCGAGACACCTACTATGTTCTGGGACACAGGTTCTGGAAAGGACCTTAGAGGTGCTCTGTTCTATGAATTATGAAACTGAAGATCAGAGAGGGGATGAGAACTGCCCATCACCACCCAGCGGATTCTGACAGAGGCTGGTCTAGAAGCCCTGATTCCTGACTCCCACTCCACTGTTCTTTCCGCTACAGCTAAAAACCACCCATATTCTTTGACTTCACTTTCCCTATTGAATTTACATCTAGTGCCAAAGGGGCACCACTGGGTACACCCAGGACCCTTACTATAGATGTGCTTCCCACCGTGGTTAACAGTTAGGAACTGCCCCAGATCCTTTGCCAGCCGCTGAAATCCAGGCCCTGAGATTTAAACTCCCCAAACAGCCTCCAGAAGAGATTGCATAATAACTTAATCAGAAGGGCGGGAGAGAGAGGGTCCAAGTGTTCAGGCAAGTACCGCTCTGCCGGCTCCTCTCCACATCTGCATCTGCAGGCCTTCTGCTAAAGTGCCAGGCCCTAGCCCATTTCCAGCCCCTTCCTCCTGCCCTCTCCTACCTGCTGATACTCAGTGTTCGTGCCAATGAAGAGAGACCTGGGATTAAGTCCAGGAGCAACCGGTGGGCCCCTCCTGGATGATGTCAGGGGCCACGGGTGTCTTCTGAAGTTCTTTTTGGAGCCCTATGTGGCCCCGTTCTCTCCTCTACACAGGCTTCGCCTGCAGCCATGAAGCAGGCCACACGAATGTGAAGGCCATGGCTCGGAAGGTTATGTCTTTTACTTTGGGCCTTGGAAAGGGCAAAAAGTGCCAGTTGTGTTCCTAGGCATCATTCCAGGTCCCCTTTTCCTTTGGGAGTGATGGAGAATAGCAGGTAGAGAGCTGCCCCTCCCACCCCCCGTGGAATGGGCCATGCCTTATCATTCTTGTCTACGAAAAACCTCCCTCACCCTCTTATTGATGCTGAGGGCTCTGTAGTTTTAGACAGTCAATAGCGTGTTTTCATTTCAGTTAGTTTCAATTCAGCAAGCATTTATTGAGTGCCAGGCACTGTTCAGTGCTGGGGAAACAGAGATGAATACAATATGGTTACTTGCCGCCAGTTAAGTAAATTTTCACTTAAGAACAATAATACCAGTCTCAAATATAGCACACAGACAGACTACAAGAGAAAGTATTTTGAAGTAGCGCATAAGAGGCGTAATTACAGGAGTCCTTCCGTCAGACGGGACCATCAATTCTCCATTCTCGGTTTAAAAGACAGCCTGGTACCAGGGAAAGAGCACAAGAAGGGGGATCGGGAGATTTGCGTGTCTTCTCCCAGCCTTGCCATTAAAACTCTAGGTGCACTGGGCAAATCATTTCACTGCTCTAACATTCAGTGTCCTAACTCTAAATTGAGATGGGATTAAGTAATTTCTTCGATCTCTTCCAGCTTTAAGATGGAGTCAGTCCAGGGCAACTTCCTGAAAGAAGTGCAATTTCAGGAACTGCTTGGAAAGTGGGAAGGAAACATTAAATTATTGTGCTGCAGAAGGTGTCGTGTTGTCAGATATCTTGGTAAAATGAAGAAATGAAGATAGGACTGTGTGGTAGCGGAAGGGGATGGAAGAGACACAGGGTTTTTGCTGTTTGTTTTTTTTTAAGACGGGGTCTTGGTCTGTTGCCCAGGCTGTATGCAGTGGTGCCATCTCTGCTCACTGCAACCTCTGCCCCCTGGGTTCCAGCGATTTTTCTGCCTCTCTAGCAGCTGGGACTATAGGTGTACACCACCACACCTGGCTAATTTTTGTATCTTCAGTAGAGATGGGTTTTCACCATGTTGGCCAGGCTGGTCTCGAACTCCTGACCTCAGGTGATCCATCTGCCTCGGCCTCCCAAAGTGGCTGGGATTGCAGTCATGAGCCACCATCCCTGGCCGAGACACAGGGTTTTGAACAGGCATTGTGAACAGGTAGTGTAGGAAGTGGTAGGTGAGGATGAGGGTGGGAGGATGAGGGTGGGAAGGTCCTTGGACCCAGTTGTAGAAGGTGATACCTGAAAACATAATGGCTTACAGAGGAGAACTTGAAACAGACCTGGCAAAGGGGATCCTGGTGTTTTCCCTCTGTCCCTTCCTCAACCCAGCTCCCCAGGATCCACCCTGACCTCAGAATTAAAGGCAGCTCAGCCCAGTGGCATTTTTAGAACGGGTTAGGGTGTGACAAAACCAAATTAAGTAACTCCTCAGAAGTCGGGACTTCTTGCTCTAAACTGAGGAAACCAGACCAAAAAAAGGGATCCTCCCTTCCGATTTCCTCAGCCACGGCTGTGGGCAGCCCAGGTGTGTGGCCAGCACACACCCTGTCACCGAGGGACCCATAGGCACTCCTACACAAAGCCTGTCCCTTTGTAGCTGCCTCCTCTGGGTGGAGAAAGCCTCTTTGCTTTTCTTCTGACTCTGCAAACTGACCTATCACCAGGTCTCAGCTTCTGGACTAACGCACGGATCGAAGGCAGGGGAGGACTTGGGATGAGAAAAGTCAGATGTGTCCTCCCCATGGTCCCCTGTTCTCTCTTCCAACCAGGAAAGGGAAAGGATGCATGCACCGATTTCTTTCTGGGTGCCGAAGACACGGAGTGGGAGAACCACAGGCCCTGGTAGGCAAAGGAATGAAGAGGAACGGAGTAAGAAAAGGGGACAGAGAAAACTCGGGGACACGACAGAGAAAGGAGAGCTGGAACAAACAGAGCAGAGGCCAGAGGTGAAGTGAAGGAGCAGGACTGAGGAGGGACAAAGGCAAAGGGTGCCCCAGGGAGAAGGCCGGCCAGAGGCCAGAGGCAGGATCTGCGAAGGAAACCCAGGAGAGAGGTGGGGGTGGGGGACTGCCGGAAAGTGGTCCGGAGAGGAACGGGGAAGGAAAGTCCAGAAGCAAGCACAGCCAGAGAGAGAAGACAGGGGACAAACAGCAAGACCAGGCCAGGCAGGGAGAGATGCAGCTGAGAGCAGCACCGAAGAGGAGACGCAGAGGCCAGAGGGTGAGAGGATGGGAGAGGGAATAGGAGCAAAGGCGATGGAGAGGAGAGGGCAAGCAGAAGAGGCAGAACCCGGGGAGGGAGCTGCAGAAGAGGCAGCATGGCTGGTTTAATGAGCCGCTCTTCTCTCCCCCTGCCCAGGAGAGGCGGCTGCTAATTATGTCTTCATCCTCCCCAGGCAGGAGGAGGTCAGGAGGTCTGAAGAAATGCCCTCCCCCAGCAGAAGGGCTGGGGGAAGGAGGGTGGAGGGAGTGGGGCTGGGGCAGGAGTAAGTAGGAGTGCTGAGCTGGCTGGGCACCAGATGGGGCCTCTGCCCTGGTTCCTGCGGGCCTCTCTTACTGCCTGCCCTGGTGGGGTAGTGGGAGGGGCACACCTATTTGACTTGGCATTCTGGCACTGCCTTCCTCTTGGCTAAGTCATAAGAAGGCCAAAGGCTGAGTGAGAAGCAAAGAAGGAGCTGCAGGCTGGGGTACCTCCTCCCTGGCACCTTCATGGGGCCTTTTTCTCTGCCCCGTATTTCTGTCTGGTACTGATGCTTTGCCTCTGAATCTCAGAGGCACAGAAAGCAAACCAGGGGAAGGTGAAATTAGCCTCTGGTCGACCTGGCTTCTTCCCTGTTCCTGTCCTGCTGGGTAATGTGGAGAAGCTAGGTCTAGTGTATCTTCACTGTAGACCTGCTTATCCGGGCTCACTGACTGAGCATCCTCTAGGCCCGGTGGAGAACACCCCACTGTTAACCTCATGGGAACATGCAGGAGATGGGGACAGCGGACTTAGAGAAATACAAGGAAATGGGACGCTATGTGGAAAAGTGGAAACAGCATGGGTTTGGAAGGGAGACATACTTGGTTACCGTCCCAGCTCTGACACTTACTAGGTCTTGGGCAAGTGTCCAAGCACCAGTCGCGATATTAACTAACCAAGGGCCAGATACCCTTGTAAGTGATATTACTTCATTGGATCCTCACAATGATCCTATGAGGCAGGAATTTTATCATCCCCATTTTACAGAACAAGAGTCAGTCACAGAGAAGTAACTTGTCCAATCTCACAGCTACGATGCGACAGAGCAGCTGGGATTGGAGTCAGACAGTTGGTCCTGGAGACCATGCTCCAAATCTCCATGCTCCAAAGCAGAAGGAAAAAAAGCAAGCCCTTTTTCCTCTGCTCTGCACCCCCCACGCCCCATAATAGTAAACACAGAAGACTTCTGTGACCAAATGTGTGAGGTTTTCCCTGCACTTCAAGCAAGCAGTCAGTCCTCTAGCAGACATGGGCTGGGTGTCCTTCAATTCGACCCTGACACTGTCTACCTGGAGGTAGCATCGGATCCCCCAGGTGGAAAGCTCAGTCCCGCAAGACCGTCACCCACTTCCAATGTCAGTCGCAAGCCCCCCACGGTATTACCTGTGCTTTTGACTGACTGGCTATAAATGGGTGTTCCCAAGACCTCATCCTGGGGCTTTATTACTTTTCTCTAGTGGCTCACAGAGGTAGGAAACACGTTTACTAGTTTATTATCAAAGGATAGTAGAAAGGATATAGATTTTTTTTCTCTTTTTTATTTATTTAATTTAATTTATTTATTTAAGATGAGATTTCACCATATTGGTCAGGCTGGTCTCGAACTCCTGACCTAAGGTGATCTGCCCGCCTCAGCCTCTCAAAGAGCTGGGATTACAGGCGTGAGCCACCACGCCCGGCTGAAAGGATACAGATAAAGAGATGCATGCACAGAGCCAGGCACGTGGGAAGGATCGTGGAGCTTCCATGCCTTCTGCGGGCATGCTACCCTCCAGTAACCTCCATGTATTCAGCTACCTGGAAGATCTCAGAATCCTGTCCTTCTGGGGCTTATGAAGGCTTCGTTACATAGGCATGATTGATTAAACCATTGCTTGTTGGTGATCAGCTTAGCCTTCAGCCCCTCTTCTCTCCCTAGAGGCTGGGTTATGGAGCTGAAGGTCCCAACCCTCTAATCCTGCCTTGGTTTGTCTGGTGAACGCCTCCCATCCTGAAGCTACCCAGGGCCTGCCAGCCACCAGTCAGTTCATTAGCATACAAAAAGACACTTAACGCTTGGGAGATTCCAAGGTCTTTAGGAGTGCATGCCAAGAGCCAGGACCAAATGTGTATTTCACCAAGGCTTTCTCAGAAAGACACAGGTGTGTGGGGAAAATCAGATCAGCTGAAAGCACTGGGTGCATAGTAGGTCCTACATGTTTGTGTTTCTCAAAGTAAAGCGGTAGATGTTAAATTACCTTGTGAGTAGCATAGCCAGGAAGCTCCCAGCAAGGACAAATAACTTCTTATTAGGGTGCCTGGAGAAGGATTGACCTTCAGGAAGAATTAATAGGATTTCAGTCTTAGGGATAATGCAGGGGCAGCCCCAGGGAAGGAATGATAATCTAGAGACCTCTTCAAAAAAGACCCACACACCTATTTCCCCATTACACTTCCCTGCAGGTTTTAATAGTGTTGTTTCCCATCACCGCCCCCCTCCCAAACAACTCCTCCCTCACTCTCCCACCCTACCATGTCCCTGAGGTAGGGCCTGCTCATTCCTGTCCCCAGGCTTGGAACATGCCACTATCTGCCTGAATGTCCTCTCTTTCTCCACAACTAACCTTGACCTTCACCTCCTGCAAAAGCAGCTGCAGTGATCTGCAGGAACTGTGACTTTATTAGCCTTGTCTGCCTGCTCAGGGCCTGATAGACACCTGGATCCTCAGGGCGTACCGTTGCATGGTAATTTACACTAGTTCCTCCATCACTTGAACAAGCCCTCCCTAATGTTGGGGAGTGTTTAGCTGTGTGATGTGTCCCATCCGGAATGGCTAGAGAAGGGTTAATGCAACTTAAATGAAATTTAGGGAGAATTTGGGCTGCTTCTTTCCTCTTTCGTTGTTCCCAAAGCTGGATGCAAATTCTGCTTTAAATTGTAGCAACTAGCTTTTGCAAGGATCTCTGGAGTATTCATTCCATTTGCGATGCTGTACCAGGCCTTATTCGAGGCACAGGGGCTATGGTTTCCACTGAGGATGGAAAGCCCAGGAGACATTTTCCTGGTGTGAAGCCCTGGGATGCTTCCACATCTTCAGGGTTTGCTCAGTTGTTATTTTTTCATTTATTTTTTCTACTTTTTTAACTCAGGTAACTGAAAATTGCACAGTACTTTTCAGTTGACTAGGGATTCACAGTCTTTTTATTTAATTTTCACTACAGCCTTGTGAAGTAGGTATTATGATGTCCATTTTATAGGTGCACAAGCTAATAACTGAGAGGCTAATTCTCTTGCTCTGAATCTAGGTAGAACCAGATACAGTCAGGATGTAGAACTTGACATTTCTTCAGATATTAATGTATATTCCACTGCACAACACTGTCTGGTGAAAATTACCCTACCTAGAGGGCTCTTAGCCCTTTAAGTTAGAATAAATGACCTTTATCTTTGTGGTCATCTGCCCAAACCTTTATTAAACACATAATTGCTTCTGGCTCAGTGTGGATGTAGTATAAAGAGGTATGTGTGGTCCAGCCCCTGCCCTCTGGGGCCTGCAGTCTAAGCCAGAGGCACTGACATGGATAAACCTGTACAGGGCATGTACAGCAGAATGAAAACAATAACCCGTCGTGAATCAACAGCAAAGTATTTACAAGACTGTGCAAGGCAAGGGTAGGCGCGTTTCCAGGGTAGGACAGAAGGAACAACTCTTGCCAGGTGCTGGGGCAGATCTCCACAGTGCCAGACCACAGCTATCTTCAATAGCTGCCCTAAGTCTCTCTCCCTGTTGCTGTAACAAAAACCTATGTGTGTGTATGTGTGTGTGTGTGTGTGTGTGCGCGCGCGCCCATGTGCGCGCACGCATGAATGTATGTGCATATATGCACATACGTATAATGCACATAAAATATGTATACTTTTTAAACACTATTCTTCAGGCTGCCAGTGCACAATTGGGTTGGTTAGAAGGTGAACAGTTATGGGAGTCTTATATTTAGATAATGATGGAGAAACTTGTAGCCCTCCTGCAGCAGTAGAGTGAAAGTTATTCTCCTCCAGTATACATCAAGTTTATCTCTTAACACTGAGCTTTTATGAGATGGAATGAGCACATGTAATATAGGAGAGAGAGAGAGAGGCAAATAGCAACTCCGAAATCAGAGAGATACGAACTTTAATCCTCAACCTGCCAATGTTCAGTCACAATTGTGACATTGTACAATTTCTCTGAGCTTGCTGAGCCTCAGTTGCCTCTCATCCAATGGGGAAAATTATCTGTGCCTTGCAGGGCAGTTCAGAGAATTAAATGAGGTTGTGTAAGTGAAGTACTTGATAACCAAAGGCTTAATATATTTTTGTTAAATTTTTAATTTTGTATTTTTAGTAGGTAATGTACATAGTACAAAATATAAAAACCACAGAAGGATGAATCGTGAAAATAACTCTCTCTCCCATCATTCTCTTCAAGCCACCATTTCTCTTAACCTTAACTATTTTGGTCCTTACAAAATCCCTGTGTATAAAGCAGGGCAGGGTTTTTGATTTTTATTTCTCAGTATGGAAACTGAAGCCCAGAGAGATTAAATGGTTACCTAAAGTTACCCACATGAAAGTGCTGGGCCTAGAGCCCACGTCTTCCCATTAGTACCCCAGCTTGTTGTATTTCATGTTTCACACTAGAAGACATGGTCAGAGATGGATTCCAGGCTGCTGAATCTTGTGACTTTGGGACCATAGGCTCTTTTGAGAATCTTATGAAAGTTATGGATGCTTTCTTTCTCACCCTAACATACACGCCATTCAGACTTGCATGTATTTTAGATGGTTTCTCAACCACTAGAAGTTCAAAAGTCTAAACCATCCTAATGCCTTTGTGTCTTCATCAGGGTTTTAGCTCTGTGGGACTTATCTGGAGAGCAGCGGCGTGTGCTCAGTGACCTGTAAATCAAATCTGCTCCCCAGGGTTCTGGAGTCAGGACCCTGGAGTTGTGGGCTGGACCACACGTATCTCTTTATACTACATCCACACTGAGTGAGATGCAATTATGTGTTTGATAAAGGTTTGAGCAGATAACCATGAAGAGAGTAATAGCACAAAGTTCTGGAGTCAGAAGATGTGGGTTCTACTCCAGGCCATGGCATGTCTTAGTTTTGTGACCTTGAGTGCATCCGTTAATTTCTCTGAGCTTCGTTTGCTTTGTCTGTTAAATGGGGTTCGTATTCTTTGTCCTCAGGAGCTGTGGACTAACATTTATAAAGTCATTCTGCAAACTGAAATTACAAATAAATCTAAGATATTATTTCTCCCCGCAAGACCTGGAGCAGATGAAAAAACCAGAAAGAAGTCTCATACCTGGAATTTCATCCAGTAGCTGGAGTACCTGCCCTGCATGGTAGAGGCTGTCCAGCCATGTACCCCCTTTCTGGATTTGGTACCCAGAGTCGAGCTCCCCAGGACTAGGCATGAGTGCTGATTTATGTTGCATTGAGCATCCCGTTATCCAATCTCAGCTCCATCTGCTTGTCCTGGTCTAAAGTGGGTGATAATCCCATTGTTAAGACATGTCTCATTAAGAAGTCTCTAAGACGGAGCCAACAAACAGCCCAGCAGCATCAAGGCTGCTGCCTAGGAAAGAGTTCCCCCCCATCCCCGTTCATTAATGATTATGGGAGGTTTTATTCCCCCCAACAAAAGTGTTAATTAGACATCGTTCGGAACAGGGATATTACACAAATGAATTAAACTCAAACCAATCAACAAGCCAGCTCTGTGTTTCAGGTTCCCTGAACGAGAAGGGAATTGAAGGCTGTGATGGGAAACAAATGGTAGGGTGTCTTCCCTAATATCAAATAATAAGTAGGAAGGCGGCCTGCGTTTCTAGCCCTCCTCTGTCTTCTTATGCCCTTCTTTCTCCCCTCCCTTCCCTACACACACACACACACACGCACACGCACACGCACAAGTGCACACGCATGCACGCGCACACGCACGCACACACACATGCACTACCATGAGGCTTGGAGAGTTAGGGTTCCATTCTTGTGGCTGAAACTGGCTGGGACCGCCCAGTGGTACTTCTCAGGTGCCCTCTAGGCTCAGGGGCTGAGTGGGATGGAAGGGAGTCAGAAGGGCCCAATTCCAATCCCCCTCCGTCACTCACCACCCTCCTCATCAGAGAATAGTGTGTGTAATGCCAAGGAGTTCACAGGGATGCAGTAGGCACTCAAGTGTTGAGTCCGAATGGCTGGGCGACTTTTGGAAGCATTCTGTGCCCTGGCAGCAAATTCCTGAGGCTGATTGCCCCCTGTGGGGAGAGTGGGAAGAACTGGAGGGAGTTTTAGTCCTTGTCTTTTGAGGGATCCCAGTTGCTCAGAGGGATAGATTATAAAAGATTGAAAAGTCTTCTAAACATGGACAAATGAAGCCAGTGCAGTGGCTCACACCTATAATTCCAGAACTTTGGGAGGCAGGAGAAGTGCTTGAACCTACAAATTGGAGACTAGCCTGGGCAACATGGCGTGAGACCATCTCTACAAAACAGAAAAAAAATTAGCCAGGTGTGGTGGGGCACACCCTCAGCCCCGGCTACTTGGGAGGCTGAGGTGGAGGGATCGCTTGAGCCTAGGGACTGAGGCTGCAGCTGTGATCGCACAATTGCACTCCAGCCTGGGCAACAGAGCCAGATCCTGCAAGTGAGAAAAAGGAAAAAAAAAAAAAAACATGTAAATGAGAACAAGATAGGGCAAAATTAAGTATTAACAACTTGATGTATGGCTGTATGGCAGGGTTGAGAAGTCAGGGGCGGGGATTCTCATCATTTCCACCAGCCTGGGAGATGCTGGAGAGGATGAGGAGGAGCTGGGCCTGTCTGGCCGAAGCAGGAAGTTCGGGCTTGGGAGCCGGGAGAGGAGGTTGGGGTAATGAGAGGCTGGCTGTGTGTGGACTCCCTGAGGGAGAGGCTGACGTTCCCCTAGCGTCTCTTTCCTGGGAACATAGTAGGTGCTTGAATGCATGTATGAAGTTGGCTTCTATGCAAATGGGCTGTAAGGGAACTTGTCGCTGGGATTAGTAGGAGTCAGAAGGTAATTGAAGGCAGAATTAAAAAACTTATTTTTCTTGGGAACAGGATGCAGAGGGTGGAAGTGTGGAAAAGGAAGTCCGTTCAGAGGCCTCCCTGCAGGTCGGAGAAGAGATGAGCTGTCGATATCGCTTCCTTTAACTCCATATCAGTGTGTCCGCAGGCTAAGAACCGCCTCCCCCCACCTCCCACCTTTCACTGCTTGTCCCCGGGCTCCTTATAAATCATCCCCAGCCTGGGATAGGGGATCCCACTTTTCTATTTTCTATTTTTTTTTTTTTTTTAAGATGAAGTCCTGCTCTGTCACCCAGGCTGGAGTGCAGTGGCACGATCTGACCAGCCTGGCTAACATGGTGAAACCATGTCTCTACTAAAAACACAAAAATTAGCCAGGTGTGGTGGTGCATGCCTGTAATTCCAGCTACTCGGGAGGCTGGGGCAGGAGAATTACTTGAACCTAGGAGGTGGAGGGTACAGTGAGCTAAGACCGTGCCACTGCACTCCAGTCTGGGAGACAAAGCCAGACTCCATCGGAAAAAAAAAAAAAAAAATAAAAGGAAATGAAGTTTTTCTTCATCCTTCTCCTCTTTGATTTTAGATGCCTCAGTTTCCCATAGATTCCCCTTTCCCAATTTTCATTATATTTTATGTCCAAGTACTTGACATTCCTTATATCCCTGGAACCCGAGCTTCAGTGGGATTCTGAGCATGACCAAAATTGAAGGACGTTGTTTCCTAGTCTCTGTTACCCGGTTACCTGGACCTTTTACTTTGTCATGTGACCTAGTGAAAGAGAGTGTGTATTAGGAGTTAGATGTGGGTTCAAGTTCATAATCTCTCGCCAGCTGTGAGACTTTAGGAAAGTCAGGAAACTCACATTCAGCTTCCCAGGACTGAGTTCTTGTGTGGCTGAAAAAGTTAATGTAAAAGTGATTTGTGAATTGCAAGCTGTTCATCAAACATACGGGAGTATTATTTCTTGCTAATTCCATCTTAGCACAGTTACTTAGGCAATAGGGGTTAAGGGACAGGAGACTTTGGTGATCTACGACTTTGGCAGCTAGGGTAGCCATACTTTTGGATAAGGTGGGACCATCTAGTTATTACTGAAAAATCACACATTGATTTCTCATGCTACCAGATATAAAGGTGTATTATGTTTCCATTAAAGAAATTGAGGCAAGCTAGAAAAACAAACATTTAAATTCTCTCTCTGTTTTCTAACAAACATCTATACTGAAATGATTGTGTGTGTTCATGTGTGTGTGTGTTTGTGTATTTATTTTTGCCATTGTTCTGTTTTTCTTACCTCCTTTTCTTCCACCTCTTTGGGTATGTATTTTATCTTGGAATCTGGGAATTGAAGCGGGAACTGGTAGGAGCCATTCCCCTTGCCCCCTGGCTAGGTAGCTGTTCAGGCTCCCTCGCTGCCTCTTTTAAGAGATCAATTACTTACCATCCGTCAGTTTCTTTTATCTTTTGGAAGGAAACCTGTTTAGAACAGCCCCCTTGGGACTAGGGCCCCAGGCGGTGAGTGTAGTAGAGAAGTGAGGTCCAGATGCTGTATGCTGATGTACAGTTGGAACTGTACTCAGGAGCCCGACAGCAAGGACTGCAGAGAGCTTTCCCCCCGTCTCTGTGAACTTTCTTCCATCAGCAGAGGGTCCAAGGTATCAGGATAATGACAAGACCCTGCCCTGAACAGTAGAAGCATAGATACAGAGAAAGGAGAGAAATCAAGGGGGAGACAATTAATATATTATGAGTGCCTACTCTGCATGAGACACTGCTAGATATTCTATTTACTGTTGACCCATTTAATTTAATTCTTATGGAGCCCTGTTAAATAAGAATTACTAACCCTGTGTTCTAGATGGGATGTTAAGGCTCAGAAAAGGGACGGAGGAGCTGGAATTCAAACCCAGGACTGTGTGATCCCTAGCAGTCCCCGATCTGCCGGGGCTTCAGAGAACCACTCCGATGGAGACAGGCCATGCCCCTGCTACATGGTGACCATGTGGCTAATAACAGTAATTGAAAGCTTGGGTGATTTTAGCCACAGTCCATGTACTAGTAGCAGTCGTGTCAATAATTTGGGAGGAATATACCTCTGCCCCTTAGAAAGGCATTTACCTCCCCAGAGTCTCAGAAACCTACAGAGCCCTACAGAACTACAGTGCCAAGGGGATCTGGTATTTCCAGGGGTGGATTTACGCATTGACAGAACTTACCGTCAGCCTTCAATTCTCAACAAATGCAGAGAACCATAGTGTGGACAGATACTTTCCTAAACCGACAGTCAAAACCCAGGGATACTGAGGATAACTAGAAGTGTTGTGGTTTGTTTGTGTTTTGATACAGAAGGGACCTTGGGCCTTGGCATCACAATGCATATACACTATGGTGCAAATGGCGCCCCCTGGAGCACAGAATCAGAGTACAGAATTTCCATTTATTTATTCATTTATTTTCTTATTACTGTTCCACAGTTATTTTCTGGTTGTAACTTATTCAGATAAATACTGCAATGAACTTGTAGCACCAAGTGGACAGATCAGCTGGTGGCGTTGGCCATGGTAGATAGTTTAGCTAGTTTAGGTGGTTTAGGGAGGTAAACTAAGGTGGAGAATGTGCAGCTTTTTTGGCAGACTGGACCATAAGGGGATATACTTGATGCTTCAGTAATAGAAGGCAGTCCACTGTGTAACCTGTATTTACAAATGGGCAAAGGACATGGAGAATGAGAGCAATCCAAGAGTGCTCCTGGACCTTTCCAGGTTTTGGCAGGACCTGCAAGGAGAGCGGCAAGGTTCCTGGAGGAGGATGGTGTAAGTTCTCTTGAAGCAGCCACAATCCGGGAAAGAGAGGCAGCTTGATGGAGCAGATAAACATCCCGTGGACCGCGATGCTTGGTGCAAGCTTGATCAGTGCTGATGTCACTGGTGCTGATGTCACTGGTGCTGATGTCCTCCAGTCTACCCAAAGGGCTTGGGCTGGGTTATACCTGAGGCCTCCTGATGCTTATGGCTTTCATATTTTCTGGCTTGAAGTGGGGGAAAGAGAGGGCAGTTTGGGGTGGACAGGAGGCTGTCTGGAGAAGGAAGACTGGAAGAGCAGACCGATGAGGGCCGCCAGACAGAAGTGAGGATGGCTGATGGCTGGCCTGTGGGTTTTAATTTGCCGGAGGAGCCTTGGTGAGCAGGTCTGCAGAAGGAGTCTTGGACTTCGATGGAGCCTGGGGTGGGACAGCCTCAGTGGGGCGCTTCAAGGCCTCCCATGTCTCCTTTGGTTCTCCTATGGTAAAGAAATCCCAGAGGCTGCTATGGTCCCATGGGTGTCATGCAGCTGTGAGTTCAGGTTTGGAGTCCTGGACACCTGGGTCCAAGTCCCCCTGTTGTCACGACTAGCATTGGACCTTGGCCTAGTTGCTTCATCCCTCTAGGCTTGTTGAAAGGGTCAACTGGCCGGGCGCAGTGGCTCACACCTGTAATTCCAGCACTTTGGGAGGCCGAGGGTGGGATCACGAGGTCAGGAGTTCGAGACCAGCCTGGCAAATATGGTGAAACCCTGTCTCTACCAAAAATACAAAGGTTAGCTGGGCATGGTGGCACGTGTCTGTAGTCTTAGCTGCTCAGGAGGCTGAGGCAGGAAAATGGCTTGAACATGGGAGGCAGAGGTTGCAGTGAGCCGAGATCACACCACTGCACTCCAGCCTGGGCAACAGAGTAAGACTCCGTCTCAAAAAAAAAAAAAAGAAGAAGAGGGTCAATCACACCTACTTCTCAGGGTGTCATGAGCATTAAGTGAATCAATGTCTATAAAACAGCAGAGTGCCTGGCTTATATACATGTTCAATATATGACCATTATTTTAATTACTATTAGCATCAATTCCTTCCAAACCCTGTTTGTAGCTCCCTCCTCCAGGAAGCGTTCTCTGATTAGGCTCACAGGACTCCAGTTGCTCCTATACACTATACCCGGGCTCTTGCAGCCTCCCTTTGGGGTTCCCAGGTAGCTGTTGGCCTGTTGTCCTGAGTGTCCTAGGAACATGGTCTTCAGGGTGGGGGCCTGTCTCCTTGTCTCCCCAGATCTTGCCTCATGGCCCATTGCAGATTCTGGCCCACAGGGCACTGGGCTGAGACCAGGGTGCCTGATGGATGGACTTTCTGCGACTCATACCTATTTCCTCCCCAGGAATCAATCCCAGGCCCAATGTCAGCTAGACACGGGGCAGGACCAGCCTGCCAGCGGCTCAGTAGCTCTCGCTAAGTTAGGATCTGGCTCTGTGCCCACAAACCTTCCTGGGAAGCTCGTCTCAGGCCTGCCACCCATCTGCCTGGCTGATGAGGGAGGGAGGTCAGCTATTTCTTCCTGCTGGAGAAATAGAGGTCCTTGTGGTGGCTCCATCCATTCTCCCCATGTGTGAGCTGAGTCCTGTGCATTCATCCGTCTAGTTCTCAATTCGGCAAATGTTTACCGAGGCTTCCACTCTGTGCCCTGCACTGCGCTGGTCCCTGAGGGCCCAGTAGGGGCCGCTGTAATGAGACCGTGCCCTCGTAGCTGGAGGGGGTCAGTCAGTGGTGGGGGGAGTGGGCAGAGGACAACAGCAAGTAAACAAGAACATATGGACTATGAATGAGTGCTATGATGTTAAAGATGAAACAGACCAGCATGAAAAAAACTGATGTCTTCCAGTCCTTTTACAGCTGTCTCTTCCTTTTTTTTTTTTTTTTTTGGAGGCAGTGTCTCATTATGTTGTCTGGGCTGGTCTTAAACTCCTGGCCTCAAACAATTCTTGTCTTTGCCTCCCTGCCCCCCCGCCCTCTGCAAAAAAAGCACTGAGATTACAGGTGTGATCCACTGTGCCCAGCCATTGTCTCTTCCTCTTTTAAGGAATGCTGCCTCGTGTGTAGTAGGAGAGATTATTCTTAGCACTGAGAGATCTCACAAACCGAACACTGAACACAAACAGGGTTCCAATGGGTCTGGGGAAAAATTCTGTGTCATGTCAGAGAAACAGTAGACTTGCCCACTAGGGACTTTGTTTCATTCATGCCTATAACTTCAGAATCCAGAATAGTGGTACGTAGTAGGTCTTCGATAAATATTGATTGGCTCCAGAGGGCTAAACTAGGATGAATGGATGTGAACACTGCAGAGAGGCAGAGTTCCACAGACAATAAAGAACACCTTTTTAATAGCTGTAGCTGTCAGCAGATAGAAAGGGCTGCTTCATGAGGCAGTGAGCCCTGCAGCCCGGGAGGGTTCAGGAAGAGCCAGGCTGACCGCATGCTGGGCACGCTGGACCGGAGACTTCCGATTGAGAGGAAGGTTGGACAAGGTGACCGCCGTTGTCCCTTCCAACACTAAAGGCTCTGCCATTTCAGCACCACCCCTTCCCAGGCCCAGCCTGCCTGATTTTGCATCATAAATGCCCGGACTTTGCTGACAAAGCCTGTGTCTTGCTTGCCATAGAATTGTCTGCGAAGAGGCGCCCTGACTGCTCAGCAGTGAAAGGGAAAATCACTTGGAAATATACTTCCCTTTATTGACCCTGCAGCTCTGCCCTCATTTTATTTTTCTGTATCAAATTGCCAACAGTAAAATTGCTGGATACACGGCATGTGTTGTTTGCTTCCTTTATGGCCCCTCGTTCCCACCAGTTGGCCAGTGGAGAAAACAATTAGTGGTATTGGCTCGAGTCTCAGGCTGGAGGACACGAAAGCAGCAAGGGCTGAGTGGGATGTGAGAGCTGGGCAAGCTGGGGCGACCGGAGGGCCGGGATGCGTCCCACCCGACAGCCCGCACCTATTCATCAAGCCAGCTTTTCCCCAGTCACGCCAATGGTTCCTGAACCTTCTGTCCTGCAGGGACGACCTCTTTGCCTGAGCACAGTTCTTTCCTTTTCCTCTGCACTCCTTCATGTCTCCTGTCGGGCCTGCGATGTAAATATAGTCTGGTCATGTATTGATTGTCTGTTTCTAGGCCTTCTTTCCAAATGGCCTAGATGTTTCTACCTGTGTTGCCGTATCGGTCTCAGGGGGAGGTCCCAGAAGGCAGAGAGCATGTCTGTCTTGTTCTTTGTAGGGAACCGTTCTTGTCACCTCTGGGCGTTGTTGTTATGTTTTTTGGTTTGTTTTGATGTGTTTGGCTTTTTGTTTTTTGGCAACCATGCCATCTCCTTGTGGGCTGTTGATCTGCTTACAAAGCAGAGCTCTGAAGAGAGGAGGCAGTTGATCACAAGGGGTTCTCCAGTAGAGAGCATGAGACTGGGCCTCCCTTGAGTATTTTTCCTCTGGACAAATTGTTGCTTTCCTTCATTATTGCTCATGTTTAGGGGGACAACATAATCCTCAGTTTGTTCATTCATTCATTCACTCATTCACCCATGCATTCACTCACTTGTTTGTGTAATTAACCGCAGTTATTGAGGCCCTTGCATAAGACCATTCCTGGGCTTGACCTCCAGGAGGTAGATGTAAGTAAGAACCAGCCTCTGACCACACATCTAACAGGGGAAACAGACATGTAGACCGAGAAATGCCGTAAAGCATAGCAAGCAAGTCCTATAAGAGAGGTCAGAGACATGGAGAAGAAAAAGCTGGGACTTTAGAGTCAGACAGACCAGGGTTGAAATTCTGACCCCAGCTTTTATGGCTTTTATACCTACTCCAGCAAAGGTTTGATGAAAGATAACATCCATCTTCCAAGACTGATGTGAGGGAGAATTAAATTAGATAATACATAGTCAACACTCTATAAATATGGATTCTTCCTCTCCATCGTCTAGGAGAATATAAAAGGAGTTACTCACTTCACCTAAGCAAGTTAGGAGGGCTTCACAGTGGAGGTGGTTTTTGAACTTGATTTTATAACACAGAGAACAGTTTTCTTTCTTTTTTTTCTTTTTTGTGGAGAACGGGGTCTCGTTATATTGCCCAGGCAGGCCTTGAACTCCTGGGCTCAAGCTATCCTCCCACTTCTGCCTCCCTAAGAGCTGGGATTATAGGTGTGAGCCACAGTGCCCAGCCAGAGAACAGTTTTCTAGGTGAAAATGGAGGGGGAAACATTTCAGAAAATGGGAACAGGCGTTTCCTTAATATCAACCCTAGTAAGGAAAAGGCTGATCTGTTCAGGGCTGGAGATGTGCTAAGGTGGTATTTGGCGGGGATGCTGAATTTAAGGTGGAAAGAAAGTTGGGAACCTTGTTATGAAGGGCTTTGGGTGTCCAGCTGAGGATTTTGAATGTTATTATCAACAACAAGGATATAATGGAGGTTTTTAAGCAGTAGGTGATGTGAATCATTTTTTTGTTTTAGGATAACTCTGGGTTGGGGGGCAGGGCATGTGTGGAAGTAGAAATGGAACAGGGGAGGGAGAGCAGGTAGATGTGTGTCCAGAAGAGACTACAAGCTGTCATGCAACAAACATTTATTGAGCAGCTATTATGTGCCAGACGCTCCACTGAACATTTGGAATCCAAAGATGAATTGAATAGGATCCCTGGGATAGACAGATAAATAGAGAACACAATAAACTGTGGGAAGAGTTGTGCTAGAGGGAAGAACAGGTCCTGTAGAGGCCTTAGGGAGGGTCAGCTAATAAAAGATGCTGTGGACAAGGCCACTCATTCATCCACATAGGTGTGCATACATCTCACAACTCCCATGTGCCACTCACAGACACCTTCATAAGGTGGTCCTGGTCTTGAAATTATCCACGAGGGAAAGAATATACATTTGGACCAAGGGAGGGACAATTTAGGGGAGGTAGGATTTAATTCAAAGAAGTATTCTGGAGTTGGAATTGACCATCAATTTGAGATAAGGATTAAGGGAGAGGAAGGGATCCAGGCTCCTAACAGTCCCTCTGGAGGTGCTGAGGCTTGAGTGCCTAAGGGGAAAGGAGAACCAGCAGAGAAGCTAATGGGAATGACTAGAAACCTGAGGGACCCCTGCCCTCTGAGCCTCACTTCTCCTTGCCTTAGAACCTAACCCAGAGGGGGTGACATCTCTCCACCCTCCCCTGGGCTTTCCCACCTCTCTCTTCAGATTCCTATCTCAGTCCTTTCGCAGAACCAGGTTCAAATCTCAGCCCCCTTACCTACTATGTGTGTAACGGTGAATAAGTCTCCCTCTGGTTTGTGGGGTGGTGGAATGGGGGTGCTTTGCACCCTGTAAAACCCTAGGCTGATGCTAGAACTTTAACTGTCATCATTGCAGGCAGCAGGCTGGCTTGGGTGGAGTGGAAGGGCATGGATTTGGTGAGCTAGAGATGGCGAGGAGGGTTAGGTAGTTGGTCTGGTTCAGAGATTCTTTCTGAGGAAGGAGGTGAGAGGAACAAAGTGGACCGCAGAAGTTCAAGGGCCGTCACAGGAACTCAGAGAACTTGCTGCATTGCCCGAGCACTTCCAGAGCTCAGAGAACATTGTTATGTTGCCCCGAGCACTTTCAAAGCTCATGATGTCAGAGCTCAGAGAACATTGTTATGTTGCCCCGAGCACTTTCAAAGCTCATGATGTCAGAGGGAGGGACAGGAGATGAAGGGAGCTCCTTCAGCACCAGAGTGAGTCAGGCCCAGGGCTGTGAGTGGCTGCGTGGTATGGGCCTTCTCCACATCACGAGCGTGTGTGTGTGTGTGTGTGTGTGTGTGTGTGTGTGTGTGTGTGTGTGTTTGACTCAGACCTGGTAACTAAATAAGGTTTCCAGGTGAACGTGAAGGTAAGGGGGACCCAGCCTAGATGCTCAGGGCCTCCTATTGCTTCGGTTTTCGTTGGGAGACAGCTGAATATTTGGAAGGAATCTTTGACATGAGCCCAGAAGTATTTGCTTCTTTGGCTACGCTATTACCTCATTCTCTGTTACCTGAGCCTCAGTTTCCACGTGAGTAATATGGGATACCAGTCCCTCCCTTGCAGAGCTACTATGAGCTGAGGTGAGATTATGGAAGCAGAGTTCCACGCTGCCTTAACACTAGCCAGGGTTTACTGAGTGTCAGGCGCTGGTCTGTGTACCTTACAGATGCATATTGCCTCATTAAAATCTTCACCACAACCTGAGGTAGGTACCAAGATTCCCCAGTTTTGTAGATGAGAAAGTGGATGCATAGACTGACTGCTCTGGTCTGTGCTCTAGACCACCTGCGGCACCCTCCCGGTGTTACTAGCTATGCCTTGTAAGTTAGGATTGTCCTTCATCATGAGGGTGGGTGCTCCAACACCTCCTGCAAGGGAGCAGTGATGGAGAGTCGGAGAAGCTGCGAGCAGAATGGACCGTGAGCTCCACACTGTGAGAGGCTACGGATGGGAAAAGAGAGTGGATGGAAAGCTCCTGAAAACTGAAAATGGTGACGTAAGCATGGGATATTGTGGTCCCGGCCAGCGCCTCATTCCCCGGTTATGGAAAGAGTAGAGTAAGAATGCTGACTCCAGGCCACCCCTCCTCCATTCCTGCTCAGATGTGCTCAGCCCTCGCAGCTGCACGCCTCCCTTCCCCCAACCTGTGGCCTCCACCCCAGGCGGGATCAGATATGGCCTTTGTCTTTCTGCCTGGCTGCTCCCTTTCAGGGATAAAGGCCTCTGTGTCTGGGAACACTGATAGTTCAGGGGAGCTTGAGGGACAGCTTTGGGAAGTCAGACAGGACTCCCAAAATAAACGCCTTTCCTCTCCACCCAGTGGCCGCAGCTCCCCATTACCCTCCGCTAGGCTGGGTACCCCATTACCATGAGTTCTGGGGGCTATGGAGAAGGCCTCTGCTTTCTTGGGTCCCTGCTTAGGGGGAAAGGGGGAAACAGGAGAAAAATGTGCCTTCCTGGAGAGGCACTGGGGGTGGGGGTGCGGCGGTGGTGGGCGGTGCCATCCATGGCAGGGAGCTGTGAACAGCAGCGTCGTGGTGAGGCTCCCTCCCCGCTCTCTCCATGTGCTCCCACCAAGACCAGCCATGGTCTCAGCAGTGCCAAGAGGCGGTGGGGGCTCCTGACCGCCCATGCCGGGTTGGGAGGTGGCGGTTTCCATGAGGACATCATGTACTTCCTGCCAGGGGAAGACAGGTACTAACTATTCTCTTGCTTAAATTAAGGTAAGCTGAGAATCATGGTGTGGAGGACAAAAAGACTAATGCAATTTTATGTCATTTTATTATCAAAATTATTACTAATGGCTACTGTTCACATGGCATTTACTGTGGCTAAACAATTTACATTCTTTAGTTCATCTAATCTTTACAGTCATGTTTTATAGATGAAGAAACTGAGGCTCAGACGGGTTACTTCACTTATCCCTGGTGACATTACCATTGAGGCAATGCCACAGTGAGATGAGGGTCACGCCCTTTGTAAAACCCTAGGCTGATGCTAGGACATTAATGCCGAAAAGACCCCATGTTGAACCCTGTTTTTCCAGCTTCACCCTGCAAATTACTAGCTTTATGACATTAGGCAAATTATTTAATTACTCTTAGCCTCCACATTTCCATCTGTAAAATGTGGTTAATAATAATATTATCCTCTTTTTTTTTTTTTTTTGAGACAGAATCTTGTTCTGTTGCCAGGCACCAGGCTGGAGTTCAGTGGTGCGATCTCGGCTCACTGCAACCTCCGCCTCCTGGGTTCAACCAATTCTCCTGCCTCAGCCTCCCAAGTAGATGGGACTACATGTGTGCACCACCATGCCCAGCTAATTTTTGTGTTTTTAGTAGAGACAGGTTTTCACCATGTTGGCCAGGTGGTCTCGATCTCTTGACCTCATGATCTGCCCGCCTCAGCCTCCCAAAGTGCTGGGATTACAGGCGTGAGCCACCGTGCCCTGTCGAATAATAAGAAATGTTAATGGCGGGTGTTGAGGATTCAGTGAGGCAATCCACATAAAAGAACGAGCTTGGTGTTTTGGACATTCACTCATTCATTTAGATGTGAACTAGATGTCAGCCACATGCAGGGACTGTGCTGCATGCTAGATATGCAAAGGTGAGCCACTGGACATGGCCCCTGCCTTGTGAACACAGCAATCTCTGCAAGCCATGGTGGGCGCCAGCTATAAGAAGCATTACGTAAAAGGCAGTTATAAAAAAGTGGCAGAAGAAGGTGAGCCTTCTTCTGTCCACCTCCAAAGCCAGGTCGGGCTTATACAAAGTCCTACATCTGGAAGGGGACAGTCATGTGTACTGACTGAGAGGTCCATGCCCAGAGAGTGCTTCCCTCCTCCCTGGACACTCACTTGAATGAGAAGTGGACGAACTGGACTTCCCTAATGGAGGACAGTGGTGAAGCTTCCAGAAATTATAACAGATTCATTTATTTCTTCACCATTTTTAAAGCATTAGGCATTTTTTTGTTTGTTTTGAGACAGTCTGGCTCTGTTGCCCAGACTGGAGTGCAGTGGCACAAAATCAGCTCACTGCAACCTCTGGCTCTTGGGTTCAAGGGATTCTCATGTCTCAGCCTCCTGAGTAGCTGGGATTACAGGTGTGTGCCATCATACCCCGCTAATTTTTGCATTTTTAGTAGAGGTAGGGCTTAACCATGTTGCCCAGACTGGTCTCGAACTCCTGGTCTCAAGTGATCTGCCCGGCTTGGCCTCCCAAAGCGCCAGGAATTTTTCTAAGTGCTGAGGCTACAGCAATTAACAAAATGAGAAAAGAAAATTTCTACTGTCGTGGACCTTATATGGCTTCTGTCAGAGAAGGAGACAATAAGCAAATTAATTAATAGGTACAATATCAGTTAGTTGGATCTTGATAAAATGGAAAATAATAAAGCAAGGGAAGGAGAATCCAGAGTCTGGTGGGCAGTGGTCCAATTTTAAATGTGCAGTTAGGAAAGAACTCACTCAGAAGGTGATAATTAAGAAAAGTTGTGAAGGAGCTCAGGGAGTAGGCACGTTAAGGGGAAGAAGCATTCCAGGCTGAGGGAAGAGCAGATGCAGAGGTCCTGAGGGGCAAATGCACCTGGTGTGTGTGAGGATGAGCCAGCATGGATGGAGGGAAGTGAGCAGGGGAACCGGTGATGGAAGTGAGGGGCGTGCCTGCACATGTGCACAGATCACGAGGGGCTACGATACTGCCATATGATTCTAAAGGTAACTCCCAGACTCTACAGGTTAGGTAAGAGCACAGTCTCCAACAAGAGCTCCCTGTTTCAGACGTCAGTTTCCAATTTGGGAGTCCCCAGGCCACCTGCACTTCCGACCAACTGGCTACAAATTCAGTGGTCCCACAACCCCTTTGGGTTGAATAATTTGACAGAATGACTCTCAGAACTCAGGAAAGTGCTGTACTATTACAGTTTTATTATGCAGGATATGAATCTGGACGAACCGAATGAAGAGACCCACGGGACGAGCTGTGAGAGGGTCCCAGGCATGGCGCCTCCATGCTCTCCCTGTGGAATCAAGACGTTTCACCCTCTCTGCACATCAGTGTGTGCACTAACTAGGAAGTTCCATGACTCTAGGTGTCCAGAGTTTTCACTGTAGTTTTATTATCAAATCATTTGACCAGATGATTGAATTCAGTCTCCAACCTCCCTCTCCTCTGGAAGCTGGTGTCATGTGGCTCAGTGCCCTAACCTTCTAGTCACATGGTTGATCTTTCTAGCATCCTCAGCCCCAATCCAGAGTCACCTCATTAGCGTAAACCCAAGTGTACAATGAATAACAAAGACATTCTTATTACCTGGGATGTTCCACGGATTTAGAACCTCTGTCCCAGGAATCTGGACCAAGGCCAGAAAAATTCTTCATTATAGGACCAGAGCCTTGAAGGAATCCTAGGACCTGGGCTTTTACTTGGAATGAAATCGGAAGTCACTGGTGGATTTTGAGCACAGGAGTGACATGGTATAATTCATGTCTTAACAGAATTGCTTTGGCTACTATGTCAAGAGTAGATTGTGTGAGGAAAGGGCAGGAGCAGAGACCCGTTAGGCAGCTAGTGCAGCCATCCGGGCACGAGATGATGATTTGGACACCGTTGACCACCTAGAGGCCACAAAGAGTGGTCCGTTTCTGGGATTATTTGGAAGTTAGAACCAGCAGGACTTCCTTACAGATTGGATGGAGGGTGAGAGGGAAGGATGAGTCAAGGATGACATTGAGGCTTTGTCTTGTGGATCTGGAGGGATGAGGCTGGCTTTGACTGAGAAGACCAGGTTTGGGGGTGGAAGATCAGGAGCTCAGTTTGGATACATTGGGTGTGAGAGGCCAATGAGACACCTGAGTGGGGGTGTCCGTGAGCAGTTTGAGGGATGCCACTGCAGCTGGAGGGCAAGGTCTGAGCTGGGATAGAACATGGAGGTAGAGATGATGTTTGAAGCTGGCCAACAGGTTGAATTCACCAAGGGAGCGAACTGAGAGGGAGGAGAGGGCCAGGCAGGATCCTTCAATGGGACAGGGAGGAGGGAGGAGAGGGCCAGGCAGGATCCTTCAACGGGACAGGAAGGAGGAACTATCAAAGGAGGCCGTGGAGCAGGTAGGGGAGTGGGAGGAAAACCAAAAGACTGTGGGGTCCTGCCAGACCAGGTGGGGAAGGTCTTTGAGGAGGGAGAGATCAACTGTAACAAGTGCTGCTGATCCATTAAGCAAGACGAGGACGAAGATGAGGGCTGATGCTGGATTTAGCAACTTGTAGGTCATTGGTAACTCAGCACTGAAGTTCTGGTGTGAGTTCATGAGTGAATGGGAGAAGGATTGTGTGCACCACTACACTTCAGTACTTTTGCTATAAAGGAGAGCAGAGCGTGGAGGGGGTGGCTGGGCATAGGGTCAACAGAGGGATGTTAAGAGAGGAGAAAATGCAGCCCCTTTGTATGCAGATGCCTGTGGAAACAGCGGTTTGAGAAACTAGGGACGCTTGGTCATGAGAAGAAGATACTCCAGGGACATGTCATAACTTTCCTCACATGCTTAAAGGACTGTCACATGGAAGAGAATTAGATTCATTTTATGTGACTCCAGAGAGGACTAGGACCAATGGTTACAAGCGACGAAGAGGAGGATTGTAGACAGCCTAAATAAGAATTTCGTGCATCCGTTTATTTGCTCATTTGGGAAGTCAGTGCTGAATGCCTGCTGCACGTCTGGCACTGGCCTGGGCACCCGGGGTCGTCATGATGAAGATTCAGCCCTTTCTGGCTAATGGAAGAGAGCAACACAGACAAACAATGGCTGGGCCCTGTGGAAAGTGCTGACAAAGCCCCCCTGTCTGACTGGGGTGGGGAATGGGGGTTCAGGGGAAGGTCAGGCTGGGTGGAGAAGCCACCATTGTTGGCTGAGGATATTCCACCTTGTGATAACCAAAAGCCTATTTGGCCTGAATAAATGAGGCCTCAAAAGGCACTTGAACCTCAGTTATCAGGTACCTTTTCTGGATGGCTAGGCCATGTAGATACAGCCTTCATAAAAATGATGTCTGATAGATGGGCGGTGCTTTATCATGTACAGAAAACTTCTAATCCTCCCAGCAGCCTGCCAGGATCATTCTGGTGTCCCTGTTTTATAGTTGGGTTAACCGAGGCCCAGAGCAGTGAGCCTTGCCTAAGGTCACACCATTATTATAAAGATGGAGCTGGGGGCCAGAACCAGGTTCATGAGTCCCTGGTCCAGTGAACACACCCTCCCAGAGCTGTGAAATGCTGAGGATAATTTACCTTTTCCCTTCTCTGACCCTTTCACAAAAGTACTTTGGGGCCGGGATTTGGATCTCAGCTGAAACATTTCTTAACTCATGCCCCTTCCCCTGATTTCTTGGCGCTTTTCCCAAAAGTAGATTCTGCAAAAGAATCTGCTCTGATGAAGCCAGACACTTTCCTGGCCTCTGCCTGGGGCTTTCTTCCCTGCTCTTTCGCTTTGGTTCCAACCCTTCTCTTTGAATCTTACATCACATACTCTTACTTTAAAAAGATCTCTGGGGCCGGGCGTGGTGGCTCACACCTGTAATCCCAGTACTTTGGGAGGCCGAGGCAGGCGGACCATGAGGTCAGGAGTTCGAGATCAGCCTGGCCAACATGGTGAAACCCTGTCTCTTCTAAAAATACAAAAATTAGCTGGGCATGGTGTCATGGTGGTGCATGCCTGTAATTCCAGCTACTTGGGAGGTTAAGGCCAGAGAATCACTTGAACCAGGGATTTGGAGGTTGCAGTGAGCCCAGATCGCACTACTGTGCTCCAACCTGGCAACAGAGCGAGACTCCGCCTCAAAAAAAAAAAAAAAAAAAGAGAGAGAGATCTCTGGACTTCAAGAGTGGTCTAAAATTATGGGATTCCTCAGATTTCCTAGGCCAGCCGTCTTTGGGTTCTTCTGATGTTGGTGAGATCTATTGCTCCAAAAAATTAGGAGAGTTACATGTCTAAATGCTATAAATAAGACGGAGGGAAGGAAGAAGGATAGGGCAAGAACAATAGTGCTCATTAAAACCTAACGTCAGGCTTACTACCTACGAAGAATTATTTATGTTATCTCCATTTTACAAATGAGGAAACTGAGGCACAGAGAGCTAAAGCTGGTTGCTCCAGGTTGAGTAGCAGAGCTGGTTACCAAGCGGCCATGCCTAGCTGCTATGGAGCTCGAGTTCGCTGATCCACAGCTTCCCTTAAGAAGGAAAGGAGGCGAGAAACAAGACTAGCAAGGGCTTTTTTTCAGCACAATTGTTTTGAGCCGGCAGTGTACTGAAGCTGTGAGGGAAGACATAGATCTAGTCATTGCCCACAGTGAACTCGCAGCGACAGAATTACAGAGCATCAAAGTTGGAAGAGACTGTGGAGATGTCATCCAAATTGGGACACGGGGAGGTGAAGTGAAACACCTCTGAAGGGAAAGGAAACACATGCTTTTGCACGCGTACAAAAATAGCATAAAACATACAAGTCCGCGGTTCAAGGCAGGCCATTAACAACTGAAGCTGAGCACCTGTTACAGTAAATACACGTCTGGGTGCTGCTGCAGGAGTGAAGTTAAGTCCTTGCCCTCCAGCTGAGGGGAACCTGCAAGAGGAGGAAATAGGATGACATCGACTAGAGAGTGTAAAGTATTTAAGGTGTTTGAAAAATAATGAGCAGTCCCATTTGGTAGGAGCTGAGCTCACTTACGACAGAGAGGTGAAAGGTAAGGTGGAGACGCTAAGGGAAGTATGCAAACTGAGCTCAGAGAGTCCAGAGAAGCGGTCAGGTAGGGTTTATCAGGAAAGGTTTTCTGGAAGAAGGGGGCATTTGGGTTGCACTAAAGAAGAAAAACTTGGATTTGCAACTATGG